GCTTTTGGAATTTTACTTTGCTTTTGTGGAAAAGAAAATGCATATGAAACTAATTGAGTTCTTCTAATCTGAGGAAGGTCTAAAGCACAGGACAAAGTGGGGAATCTTTAAAGTGGTTATGATCCCTTCTTTGCTACATACTCTCTTTGACTGCGTTAGGTACTGTTACGCAAGATGATCTGTAGATTGGCAAAATCTCTCTTCTTTTTTACCTGAGCACCTTGATGATGACATTGGGTCTACAAGGTTGGCTCCATATGACAATAGACCTAAGCATGACTGTATAATATTTGTCAGGAATATAGAATCAACAATTGCTCATTGTACAGTCTTGGACAAGCAACTTAATTTTTCTCTTTAACTTCCCTCATTTGGAAAGGATATAATCCAGCTTATTTAAAAGAGGAGAACTAAGGCATGTAAAAGCTTCCATCAAAACATTTGGCACATAATAGCTGCTCAGCAGAGCATGATCAAGATGCATGTGTGGGCTCTGGAGCGAGGCTGCTTGCGTTTGAATCTTGGCTCTACTCTCTGTCTCAGTGGTGTGACCTTGGGCAAGTAACTTTACCTTTCTTGTCTCAGTTTCCTTATCAGTAAAGTGGGTGACAGTACTACCTACATTTTGGGTAGATAAAATGAGTTAACACATGTAAAGTGCTTTGAAACATTTATTAATATATAGGGTTTAATAAAAGCTAATTATTATTTTAATTGCTATTCCTTTTAGCTTTGAGAGACACCTGCATCTTTGCGAAGTTGCATATTAAAATCAAGAGACATCATCTTGTCCTATGTATAAAACACAACCATTCAGTGCTATCAACACCAGCTGTTTTCATCAGCTTTCTATTGCCATGGGCTCTGTAACCAGCTCTCCTTTGATAAATCCCACAGTAGGAATTACTTTGTTTATGTTAAGTTTGGCTGCTTTACTTTAAGATAGTCATTTTCAGTTCTTGACTTCCCTGAGTATTTATGAATTCCATAAAGAACATGGGGAGGAGGACGCCTGGGTGGCTCAGTGGGTTGAGCCGCTGCCTTCGGCTCAGGTCATGATCTCAGGGTCCTGGGATCGAGTCCCGCATCGGGCTATCTGCTCGGCAGGGAGCCTGCTTCCCTCTCTCTCTCTCTCTCTGCCTGCCTCTCTGTCTACTTGTGATCTCTGTCAAATAAATAAATAAAATCTTAAAAAAAAAAAAAAAAAGAACATGGGGAGGAAGAAAGAGTTATTTGGAGCAAATCAGGAAAGCATCATGACTTTGTCACCCTATAGTCACTTACTCTCCAAAATCATAAAATCATAAGATGCTGTGCTTTTTTTTTTTTTTTTTTGCAGATGAAGCTCTGAGCATTTAATTTCAGTCTCATTAGGTATTTTCTTCAGTGGTGATTTTGTTGTCTCTCCTTAACACACAGTACCAATGTGCTACCTATAGGCCACCTAAAAAGGGTACAAAGGAGGGTCTCCAAAGAATCTGAATAAAGAGTTAGACAAGGTTATAACTAACTCACTACAAGAATCCAACTATGCTAATCGCTATTAAGGTGACATGGAAGGAAGGGGTTTAAAAAGAGGTCCCGTGATTATTGAACCTTGAAGAATGGCAGAGGAGGAGAGGGACTGCAATAGAAGTGGAGAGAACAAGGTGAGCAGGGGCTTGTGAAAATGCATGGCTTGTCTGGGGAGCAGCAGATGGTTCCGTGTTGCTGGAGCAGAAGGTGTGTGGGTGGGGGCTTAGGAGATGAGGAACAGAGGCCCCTGGTTCCTCAGGGGGTCCACTTACCCAGTTCTTCTCAGGTTCTAGGGAAGGAGGTGGTGGGGCTTCTCTAACAGTTCCCTCAGGATCAGGTCTTAGGGGTACCCCCCCCCCCCCCCGCCCCGTTGCCTCCTTCTCCCTGCAGGCTTCTCTTGACCTCACACCACATATCCTTTTAACCTCTGCACTTAAACAAAACAAAACAAAACAAAACATAGTCTCTTCTCTTTTTCAATAGGCTTTGCTGATCTGGTGTTGACTAACCTGCCGCCTGTTGCGAAATGAATGGAAAATGTAAGGGCCTAAGACTTTGTGCAAAACACTGGCCCCTCAGGATAAAAATCTAAGCCTAAGCAAGTGGGAACAGACCCAGGAGCCTGGATAGTTTCTGGAGAATAAGAAAGAGATAACAACGAAGGAAGAAAATGATGTTTGGCACATGGTTGGTACTCAATCAATATTTGTTCGATGCAGAAATTAAGGGATGACTTGATGGACTGTCAGGTATTGCAAGGTGTCTCAGGTCTTGTGGGGTAACTCAGGTATTGCCACCTCTGTCAGAAACTTCCTGTTTGGGAAAGAGGAAGGACGGGGAGAAGATATCCGTGTATTCTGGCTCTCCAAGCATTTGTTCTGAGGCCAGATTTCTTCTGGAGTGAGGAGTTCCTTGACCAGTAGTTTTCTCTTTCAGAAAAGAAAGAAGTGCGTGTGTGTGTGTGCATGCACGCACATGCAAATAATACACAAATACAAATAGTGACCCACTTATTTATTCCTTACCCTCATGACAAGACCCGAATACCACAGGTTAGAAACCATCCCTTTGCCATGATGTAAAAAAAAAAAAAAAAGTAAAAAACGTCAAGAGTGCTCACTTGGACTTGATAAACATATGTGCTCAGCACTTAGGATACAAAGAAGACTTGGTTCTAAGCTCAAAGGGCTTTTAATGTGGATAGACATAAAGCCAAACAGAGTATTTTATGCAAGGGAGATAGTGTTCTATCAGTGCTTAGCTCAGGGCCTTGCTACTGCCAGTATGGTTGGACCAGCAGCAGCAGCAGCAGCCGCATCTCCTGGGAAACCTGTGAGAAATGCAGACTCTTTGGCTCCAACCCAGACTGACTGAATGTGAATCTGAGTTTTAATGAGATTGCTAGGTGAATCATTTAAGTACTGGCCTAGTGTGTGGGGTTGGGATGTGGGAGCATTTCTTAGAGGAAGTAAATCCTGAGCTATGTTTTGAGAATGAGTAGGATTCACTGGGTGGTATAACAAGCAGCTAGAAAAGCGTAAGTAAAAGTTTAGGGGCATGAAGAAGCGTAGGGATGTTTGGGGACTTAAAATTGCTCACCAAAAAGGAGACAGTATGGGAGAGGAGGAGGGAGAAATGGAGGAAGATGGCAGCTTAGGCAGTGGCCAGATCCTGCTGCACATGCTCTAGGTTTCGGAGCTTGGCCTTGGCCTAATCCATAACAAGACCCTTGATGACATGTTCAGATTTGTGTTTAGAACACTGCAGCCCTGAGAAGCCTGAGAAGGTCAAGGCCAATGGGCAGAAAAATGATTTAGGAAGCTACAGCAATAGTGTGGGAGGGAGAGAATGAGAGTTGTGCAGGTACCGTAGGTAGTGCTGTGGGAATGGAGAGAAGGGAACAAGTTTAAGAAATTTTAAGAGGTAATAAGCAGATGAAAGACTTCAGTGTGGATGGGGGAGGGAGGATGGGAGAAGCCTGTGTCTTGACGAGATGAATCGTGCAGGCTTCCGGCTAGGATTAGTGGGTGGTTGCTCATGACACCACTAAAAGAGATGAAAGAATAGAGGAGGATGAACAGGTTTGAGAAGGAAAATTATGAGTTCAGTTTTCAACATGTTCAGCTCAGGTGAATAGAAAACATGTATAGGAGGGAGGAAAAAAAAAAGGAAGAGAATAAGGTTGGAGAACTGGGTGGATCAATCGGGGTGGAGAAGGGAAGTGATGAGGAAGAAACAATGCCCTGTGAAGGTTTGGGGCTATAGTAATGCACATAATGTATCTGCAATTTTGTTCTCCAGTCCTATTTCCACAGGCTGCTATTATGGAACTTGGTTCCAGCAACTGATTGGACCCTAAAGAAGAGAAAATGGTTTTGATTCATGGTTTCCCATCTTGTGATCAACCCGTTGTTGGCACTATTTGCTCTACTACAAAAGAAAAAAAAAAAAAAAAAAAAAGGAAAGAAAGAAAAGAAAAGAAAGGGGCGCCTGGGTCGTTGGGTCGTTGGGCGTCCGCCTGGGATAGACCCTGCATCCAACTCCATCTTCAATGGGAGATCTGCTTCTCCCTTTCTCACTCGCTGGCTTGTGTTCCCCCTCCAGCTGCCTCTCTGTCAAATAAATAAATAAAATCTTAAAAAAAAAAAAAGAAAGAAAGAAAAAGAAAAAAAAAAGAAGGAAAGAAAGAAAAGAAAGAAAAAAAATTAACCTGGAGTTAAGCTACTGCAGGATCAGAAGGAACAATTTTTTTTTTCCATATTGCCCTGTGGGGTGAATAATTTTGCCTACTTCCCCAACGCTACTTCCAAAGTGGCAGTAACACGTTATCAATATGTGTGAGGGTTTGTGCATGGTCATTCTTCAAGCTCTTGGCGACTTCTGTCACAAATCTTCCCTGTCTTTGAAATTTTACAGCCCCTTTTTTATTTTGCACCTTAAAATTCAGAAACTGGTAATAACTTGTCTTGGATCATTCCCGTAATTATTTCCTATTCAGCAATCGGTTCTCCTCGGCTCACACAAGTTTTAAAAAATCGTCCCGCACTTATGCATCTCCACGGCAAAAAACCCGTTAAGTACTTTAACATTTTCTGTACAGTCGTCACCAGCCAATAAAAAGCAAAAGGTCGACACGTGGTTTATTAGTTTGGGCAGGAGGAAGGCATTCCGATCCAATCCTTTCGCTCTTGCCAGGATCAAACATGGCGGGCCGTAGCCAGAATTTCCCGAACACCCAGTTCGCTTTTCCGTGACCCTAGCCAGTCTTCAGCGCTTCTCTTTCCACCTTCCTTCCTCCTCCGACTTTCGGAGAGGGTCAGCACCCTGCAGCGTGACAGCCGACCTGCTTCCCGCCCCCACCCGAGAGTCCGCCCACCAGCCCGCGCCAACCAATCGCAGGCCGCGCTGCTGCCGCTGGCAGCGCCGGCCGGCCCCGCCCCTCCGCCTCACTGTGGCCTGCGGCTCCCGGGCCGGTAGCGCCGCTTTCGGTCGCGCGGACTGGTGGTGTGGAACCGCGGGTCTCGGGTGTTCGCCGCCTGCCACAGTTCTGCCCAGCGCCACCGAGCCCGTGAGCCCCGAGCCTCCGCCATGGACTTCGAGGACGGTAAGCAGAGCTTCTGGCTGGTCGCCGCGGCGGGCGGGAGGCCGGGTGGCCGCCCCGGGGGTCTGTTTACGGTCTCAAGATGGCCGTGTGGGCTTTGTTCTGCGGGCCCGGAGGCCGCCCGCCCGCCGCGGGCCCAGTGCCCGGAATCGGCCTGTGTGGGGACCCGCGCGCCCTGTCACGCCGGCCCGGCGCCCGCTGCCGCCGGAGACCTGGGAGTTCCGTGCCGGCCTCGGTGCGGGGAAGGGCGCGCCCAAAGCGCCACGGCCTCGGGAGTGGGGCCCAGACTCGCGCCTCGGACTGGCCCCGGCCGCGGTGCGTGGAAATTGCCCCGGCGCCTCCAACTCCCCGGTGTCGGGCAGAGAGGAGAGTGGGGCTTCCCCCGTCTCGACTCACGGCCGCCCCACGGGGCGGCGACCCAGCTCGTCCGTTTCGTAAATCCTCTACCCGGTGGCTTCTTAGCAATTTTCAGAGGCCCGATCGCAGTGAGGTTTCTTGGCTTCGTTTAAGCTGAGTTTAAAGGGCGTCTGTAAGTGACAAGTACAGGTAGATATCTGTACAGAATGGAAATAAGCTGTTACCCGTTGGCAAGCTAGGTTGTCTATTCACCAGAATTATCTGGTCGTTAATCCCTAATCTGAAATACTTCTGTGAACCAAAGCATTTTTCTTCTGGATTGTGTATGGATGGGACTTAAGTTAGTCAGAATTCTGGCACAGCCTCACATGTCCTTCAAATTCAGTACTGTGCCCAGCCGCCTGGGTTAGACTTACCGTTTAAATAAACTGTATTTCAGCAATGCCTTTCAGTCGTCTCTCACGCTGGTTCTGTAAACCATTTTCACGGGCTCACAAAGTAAAATTAATTTGGTCTTCACCTTGTCTTCGGAACTTGCCTAACTTTTATAGGAATCGGTGTCAGAATGCGTCCCTAATGTCAGCATTAGGGAGAGGGAAGAAGGGTTTGAATGGTTAAACTGGACTTAATCCTCAGTAGCCAGACGTTTCTAATAAAACAGATCGACTAACTAGTTGTAAGTCACATACCCAGCCAAAACCCAATCTTCTTTAACATTGTAGTTAGTGTGATCTCAGCATGTGAGTCTGACTAGATGATCTGTGGATCTTTGATTTGATTTCATGCCACAAAGAATTAAAGCTGCCAAATCTAAGTATGTGAAAGGATACTAGAATAACCCTTTTCTGAATCTTTTTAAATTACTTTCAAATAGGAAGTTCAGCTCTTAAGAGTAGCGCACTGATGTTTTTGTTTTGGTTGGACTGAGTGATTTTGATAATAGATACCTTTAAACTATGAATATTTGAGTGCCAAAGCTAGGAATGAAACTTAAAACAAAACAAAACATAATTGTGTTTTCATGCCAAGGTTTAATGACACCCAAGGTACAGCAGCAGCCCCTAGTTGGGGGGAGGGAACAATGGGAGTGGTGTCTCCCCGCCCCCACCCCAACCCCACCCCGCCCCCACCCTACCCCCTCCCCACCCCCACCCCCGCTGGAGAATCCATTTTCTGTAGAGAATTGAAAAACAATAAAACTTAGTATGTTTGCTTTTATTGTCACCATGTGCCTACAATTCCAAACAGTGTCAGTAATAAAATTATAAACAGTGTCAGTGAGAAAATACTCCCCCTCTCTCTTGCTTCCTCTTTGCCTATCCTGCTATATTTGGGAGTGGAATTTGACTAACAGTATATCTGAATCTAATCCTATGTAGTGTAGCTGGATTCTGTTGTATCCGAGTGATCACTATATTAATTTCCTTTCTTTTAGTATTTATTGGTAAAATTAATTAAATAATTTAACGATTATCAAGTCAGTTTTGACGGAAATTGCCAATATGGTTTTTGGTGATGCCACATCCTGGATAGATAGGCACAGATATACATATGTGCATATGCATTCTGCAATAACATCTTGAAAACCTTAGCAAATAGGTAAAAGAACTATATTAACTTTGAAAAAATTATATGTTACATAGAATCAATTCTCAGGTGGCCCTTTTTGCAATGGTTGATACATAATTTAATCTCTCTGGCTTCCCTTTGTTACCCTGTATATATCAGTACGGGATTCCTCTTTTGTCAGTTATTATATATTAGGTTTTATAAGCTAATTTTTACATTATTGTAATTTTTTTTTTTTAAAGATTTTATTTATTTATTTGTCAGAGAGAGAGAGGGAGAGCGAGTGAGCACAGGCAGACAGAATGGCAGGCAGAGGCAGAGGGAGAAGCAGGCTCCCTGACGAGCAAGGAGCCCGATGTGGGACTCGATCCCAGGACGCTGGGATCATGACCTGAGCCAAAGGCAGCTGCTTAACCAACTGAGCCACCCAGGCGTCCCTACATTATTGTAATTTGGATGATAAACCTGCCTCTTGGGGAGATAGTGAAGAGGAAAAGATCTATGTTTTCCCATATAAAATATTTGTAATTATTTATACCCCATTTTTACAGATAAGTGAGTTAATGAGATTTTTAAAAATTGTGTTTGATTTGAATAGATGAGTATGTAATTTCAGATTTTTGCCAATATTGTACTAATTCCTTTCTGTTAAATGTGTCTTCATAGATTACACACACTCTGCTTGCAGAAATACTTATCAGGGCTTTAATGGTGAGTATCCTCTTTCGTTTGTTCTTAAATATGTTAAGTGAATGCATTTCAGTTTTTCTCTACACACACATAAAGTAACAATGTAAAAAGTCAGTTCCACCTTGTTTCAGTCATTGTGTTGTCTCTTGATGTATCACTGCTCTGTGTTAATGTTGTCATACTATGTATAGTATTTGAATTAGGGAATTTGGAATCAGAAAAAGTTAGGACTATTCAGATTAGTTTGACTCTTTGTTTTATTTGAATTATGATTTCTTTAATTTATTCCAAAAGGAAGAAACTAGCTGAGTTATTTTTGCCGAAGGAGAGGCTTTGGTATTGAATAATGTAGATTAAGTGGATTATTGGCTTGGTTTTACATTCCTTCTAATGTAATGCATTTTGACCTTGTTTTTGAGGTCATTTGCTTTAATGTGTCAAAATGTGTTAGTATATAAAGAGCTGTCTAGAGGAGCACATAAAGAAGCCTGATTATTTATTGACTTGAGTGTGACGTTAGAATTGTGACTACAGAACTAGATAAAATCAGAAGAGGTATGCAGAATACAATTGGATGTTATTTTGATAGTTATTAAAGTTAAGACTCTGCCAGGCAGGATGATAACATATAAGAATGTGGAACAATTCAGTGAGGTTAAAAAAGGACCCGAGAGTGGAAATAAATATCCTGATTGCCAGAAAATGGAAAATTCAACTGTTGTACAGAATATAATATATTCATAAAATAAAACTGAAGCAAATGTATTCCTAAATAAAGCTGTGCCGTTTTGTGAAAATAATTACTATCCAATTAATTTCTTTGTATCATCTCTAAGAGTTTAGAGAAACTTTGTACTTGATGTGAGCTAGAAAGGCTCAAGATCTGGGAAGGGGTCAGGATATATTGAATGTTGGAGAATATAGTTTTGTTTTGTTTTGTTTTTTAACTTTTATTTTTTTATTTTTATTTTTTTAAAAGATTTTATTTATTTATTTATTAGAGAGAGAGACAGTGAGAGAGAGCATGAGCAAGGAGAAGGTCAGAGGGAGAAGCAGACTCCCCATGGAGCTGGGAGCCCGATGCGGGACTCGATCCCGGGACTCGGGGATCATGACCTGAGCGGAAGGCAGTCGTCCAACCAACTGAGCCACCCAGGCGTCCCTTAACTTTTATTTTTAAGTAATCTCTACATCCAGCCTGGGACTGGAACCTACAGCCCCGAGATCAGGAGTTACACCCTCTACCAACTGAACCAGTCAGGCCCCCCTGAAGAATATAGTTTCTTTCTTTGTTTTTTGTTTTTTTAAAGATTTTATTTATTCATTTGAGAGAGAAAGAGAGAGAGAGAGAGAGTGTGTGCACAAGTGGGGGGAGAGGTAAAAGGAGAGGGAGAAGCAGACTCCCCACTGAGTTGGGAACCCAGTGGATTGGGGGGGCTCCATCCCAGGACCCAGAGATCAGGACTCAAGTTGAAAGCAGATGCTTAGCCGACTAAGCCACCCAGTTGCCAAGAATACCGTTTTGAACAGGAGAGTGACATAATAAAATTAACAAAGGAAGTTTGATTTGTATCCATACTTAGGTAGATTGAAAACTGGAAAGTTAGGAGTGCCTGGCTGGTTCAGTCAGTCAGTAGAGCATGTGACTCTTGCTCATGAGGTTGTAGGTTCAAGCCCCACGTTTGGTGTAGAGATTACTTAAAAATAAAACCTTAAAAAAAAACTAAAACAGAAAATTAGCTAAAAAACATTTCATAAATTTGGTTGTTAAGATTTAAAGACCCTGAACTTGGGAGATGACAAAATTAATTTTTTATTTAAAGATTTTATTTATTTACTTGAGGGAGAGAGCACAAGTGGGGGAGAGGGGCAGAAGGAGAGGGAGAAGCAGACTCCCCGCTGAGCAGGGAGCCTGAGTTGGGGTTAGATCCCAGAACCTCAGGACAATGACCTGAGCCAAAGACAGATGCTTGACTGACAGAGTCAGTTAAGGCACCCAACAATAATAATTTTTTAAAATATTAAGATGTTTCTAGAGAAAATTAGCAGAACTTGCAAGCTGACTAGTAGTGAGTAGAACATTGAGAAGGACGAATAAAATGGGTCCAGGATTTTAAACTGGAATGAGTAGGACTAATACTTTTACCAAAGAGAGATATTTGGAATGATAGAAGGCTTCATTTTCTAGTAGTGTTTACCAAAGAGTTGGGACTTAATGTCTAAATGTAGGACTTTGAAATGCAGAATCATACCAGGCCAGAAGTTTGTTCTCTTAATGTACAGTCATCATGCTATATGTAATATCCCCGTGACTTACTTTTTTATAGCTGAATATTTGTACCTCTTGATTCCCTTTGCCCAATCCATCCTCCCCTTTAGTAACCACCAGTTTGTTCTTTATATCAATAAGCTTGTTTTTGTTTGTTTGTTTTGTTTGTTTAGATTCCACATACATGTGAAATCATACAGTCTTTGATTTTCTTTGTAACTTCTTTCACTTAGCATAATGCCCTCAAGGTTCATTAATGTTGTTGCAGATAGTAAGATTCCATTCCTTTTTATGGCTTGAGTCCTATTCATTGTATATCTGTACCCATCTTCTTTATCTAGTCATTCTTCAGGGGGGCCTTAGGTTGTTTCCATATCTTAGCTATTGTAAATAAAGCTGTAGTGAACATGGGGGTACATATATCTTTTCGATTCATGTCTTACTAATGTTATGATTTTCATTTTTTTCTCTTAATGTAAGTTCCAACATTGTGATTGTTAGATTCCCCTGGAGAGGTTTTTCAAAGTATATCTGTTCAGGTCATACCCTAGTCCTCTTGAATCTTAATTTTGGACAAGTGGTCCCTGGTTATGCATGTTATAAAAAAGTACTCTGAATGATTTTGGAATGCAGTGCTGGTTAAAGATCATTATTTGACATTATTTTGAGGTCTAGGTTATCTACATTTTACAAATGAGGAACTTATTTCCAGAGACATAATTTGACTTCATTTAACAAATATTTCTTGAGTGAATGCTGTGTATCAGATACTATTTTAGGAGCCCATATTCTTGCCCTTGGAGGGAGCATGCTAGTTGGGTGAAATGAAAAGTAAACAAGATAAAGAAGTAACATATGTTGTATGTTAGATGGTAATGATTGTTTAGGAGAAAAATGACAGAGGGGAGGGGGGGTAGTGGTGGTGGTTTGGTTGTGTGTGTGTGTGTATGTGTTGGGGAAGGTCTTATTAAGGAGGTGACATTTGAGCATAGATTTGAGGAGGTGAGGATGCAAGCCATGGGGCTGTCTAGAGGGAGAATGCTGTAGACTTTAAAAAATAAAAGATGTGTAGTTATCAAATGAAGGCAACGATACAATTAATTGTTAGCATTGTATTTTTCAGTGACTGAGATGAAGTGAAAGGTACTGGAAAATATGTCAAGTTCCAAATTTCCTCCATATCATTTCTTAGAAGGAAGTTTTATTTCCAGTGTTTCCATGTTTCCTTTCTGCTTCATTATAACTTCTTATATAAATAGCTGACAAAAAAGAGAGAGCATTCCAGATAGAGGGAAAGTAGGAATAAAGGTAGAGTTGAGTGCATTGTGGTTCAGAGAGACTTAAGAAGAATAGTTTTTTTGTTTTTTGTTTTTTTGTTTTGTTTTGTTTTGTTTTTTCCAAGTAGGCTCCATGCCCAGTGTGGAGTCCAGCATGGGGCTTAAACTCATGATCCTGAGATCAAGACCTGGATGCTTAACTAACTGAGCCACCCAGCCTCTCCTACCCTAGACTTAAGAATGTTTTGACTAGAGCATATGATACTTGCCGAACAGTCTTAAGACAAGGTTAAGAGTAGTGAGAGTTGTAGCCAAAGGCATTGAAAAATCAAAGATAATTTGTTTATATCTAAGAGAGAGAGTAGGAAATAAAGACTTGAAAGAATGGAGGGATTGAGAGGTACAGTTAACAGAGGAAGAACGTTCCAGGCAGGGGTGCCAAAATGGTTGTGTACTTACTGTATTTCTAGGGACAGCAAGGGGCCTAGTATACCTGGAGAAGTGGTAAGGGTTTGGAATAGTAGATGATGAAGTTAAGAAGTGATGGGCTGGATTATATAGGGCAAGATTTCTCAACTTCGGCAGTATTGACATTTTGGACTAGATAATTCTCTGTTTATGGGGGATGTCTTGTGCATTTTAGACTGTTTAGCTGTATCCTTAGCTTTTGCACTAGATGTGAGCAGCACCCACCCTTCGGTTTTGACAACCAAAAGTGCTTTCAGGCATTGTCAGATGCCCCCTGGAGGGCAAAATTGTCCTTGGTTCAGAGCCACTATATAGGGCCTTACAGATTATTTAAAGCCTTGGCTTTTACTTTGAGTGAGATGGGAAGTCACTGGAAGTTACTAAGCATTAATATGATTTAAACTTAGACTTTAACAGAATTATTTTGGCTATTTTCTTCAGAATAAACAGAAAGGGAGGAAAAGTGGAAGTAGGAAAACTAGTTAGGAGGCTGTTGCAGTAATGTAAGAGAGATGCTTGTGGCCTGTAGCAGGATGCCAGTAATGTGGATTTTGGTGAAAAGTGGTCCCATTGAAGACTTCGTGTCATACAACTCTAAGTCTTTTGATCCTAAGTCAGATATTTTTTCCCGTTATGCTCCTCAGTGACTTCCTTGTGATTTAATTGTAACTGAGTTGTAACATTTGTTGAGCTTATTTGTATGATAGAGTGATCAAAACAATGGAATAGATTTTTTTTAAAGATTTTATTTATTTATTTATTTGAGAGAGAGAGAGAGGGAGGGGGGGAGAAGGGAGAAGGTCAGAGGGAGAAGCAGACTCCCTGCGGAGCTGGGAGCCTGATGCGGGACTAGATCCTGGGACTTCAGGATCATGACCTGAGCAGAAGGCAGTGGCTTAACCAACTGAGCCACCAAGGTTCCCACAGTGGAATAGATTTAATTTAAAACATTAGGTCTGTTTTATTTTTGAGTGAATTAGTTTCATTTAATATTAATAGTAAAGATACAATGTTATGTTCTTAACAGTTTTAAAGTGATTTTTAAGTTCATTTGGCAACCTGGAAGAATATTGTTTATATATAAGCAGTCATCTTATAGATTACATAGAGTACAAAGACTTTTCCTTCTTCTCTTTTTAATTAACTGAATGATAACAGTAGTATGAACAATAAGCCAAAGTCATCGCTATGTAAATAAGATAGCTCTCTTAATTTTTGTGTACTCCATGATGCCTGGCAGAATGTGGGTGTTCAGTAAATATTAGTAATTTATGACTCCATAGTGAAATAAAAACACACAGAATAAAAAAACAAGGATTTAGTATCCAAATGCAGCCTCTGTGATCTCAAAATTGAAACTAGCAGAAATAATAAAATATAAGACTTTTTGCTTTATGTACCTAACTGAACCTAACCCTTAAGATTCTTCCTCTTCTTATTTATTTTTTAAAGCTTTTATTTATTTATTTGTTTGTTTGTTTAGAGAGAGAGGATGCAAACAGTGGGAGTTGCAGGGAGAGAGAGAGAGAGGCAGAATCCCAAGTAGACTCTGCGCTGAGCGGAGAGCCCAAGGTGGTGCTCAGTCTCATGATCTTGAGATCATGACCTGAGGTGAAACCAAGAGTTGGATGCTTAACCTACTGTGCCACCTGACTCACCCCTTAAGATTATTTTTAATATAAGGCTTAGAAAAAGGCTTTTAATTTTGAAATTTTTATTTTAATTTCAAAATTGCCATCTATCTGAGATAGTATGAACATAAGTTACCAACTCTAAAGACAAATAACTGACTATTTTATTAGTCTAGAACTGTTTGTTCTAAAATGGTCCACTGGCCACATTGAGCACTTGCGGTGTAGACAGTTGGAATTGAGGTGAGCCGTCAATGTAAATTACATATATCGTAGGCAGTCTTAGTGTGAAAAGAATGATGTAAAAGAGCTCACCCGTACTTTTTGCGTACTGATGAACGTTTTGTGCTCTGTTATGCGTATTGGTACATACAAGCTTTATAAAATTCTCAATTCCACTTGAAAGCGCACATTTTCTTGGCAGCACGTACTGTTACTTGCTTTCCTTGAATTGAGTTTTACTTTGTTCATTTTTGAGAAAATATCTGCCAAATGCTCAAGTCTGACAGCCTTAGTTTTTGAGTGTTGGTCTGTCAATCTAATAAAAATAGTCTTCCTTGTAAGGTGGCTAATTCAGTTAAGCAGGCACTTGCATATGGCTTTTCCTGGAGTAAACTGTGGTACTTTGGTGTGCAGCAAATTGGCTTTCTTGATGTGTACTTCCTATCTCACTACAGAGAATATCGGAAAGAAAGTGTACTCAAAGGTGACGATTTAATAAAATTGATATTTCTTACTGGTTCATCAGGAACATTTGTAAATGGAGATGGCACTTCTTTTTTTATTATTTTTTACTGCAAGTGTGCATTGTTGAGGACTGCAGTGGCTGCTAGTACAGTTTGGTGCCACTGCCTTAATTTGTGCTGTGGCACCAGCAGATTTACCCACCAGTGCTTTCGCTTCTTCAGTGCAAATGTCAACCTGTGAAAAAGGCAAATGATGTTGCGGTATTCTTTATGAAAATAGTGTGATCTTGTGGATCCCAAAAGGGTCCTGGAGTTTAATCTTGTGGATCCCTGAAAGGTCGCTGGCAACTCCCAATGGTGAGCAGATTATTCCTTGAGATCTGTGGCTCTGGAATATATAAGAGAATTAATAAAAATCAGACCCTGACCACAAGACTGTTGTACATTTAAGATGAGGCCACAAGTTGCAGAATGTAAGGCAGAGTATCACAAGCACCATATAAGAGCTACAGACTTGTAGCTATTTAGAAGAAAGAGATGATAATCAACTGAGACAATATCATTAAAAGTGTTCCTGGAAGGGTTAGTGTTTGAAATGGACTTTAAAAGATGAGATTTCAGGAAGCAGATATTTGGGGTTTTAGAGGAGAGCATTTCACATAAAAGCTACAGCATAAAGCTAGAAGGGTGGATACTTACTGAACTTCGGGAAAATCATTTCATCTTTTTGGATTTTAGCTCCCTAATCTATAAAATAAGATTGAATTTTATCCTTTTAGATTGCCTCCAGCTTTAAAGTTGCAAGATTCTGAGTGGTATTTTTGTGAAGTTGTTGCTGTTGTCATTATTATTGTTGTTGTTGTTAGGATCAGAAATATTTAAGTGATTGTAATTAAAATTTAGTGTTTAAAAAATATAAATGAAGGTATTTGCTCTGTATATACTGTTGTATTTATTAGTGCATAAAATTTGGGGAAGGTGGTAATAAAGGATTTTAAAGGACTTTATAGGACACATTCTAAATGGATTAAAAAACTTTTCACTTTTTATAATTGTAGTAAATTCATTTTATTACCTCTTGTTGTATTTTTCATGTTAGAGGTTGGGATATAGGTGGAATTGCAGTGTCATAAAATACACTCAGTACCCTTAATATATTAGAAATTTTTTTAGTGTTTTGCGTTGCTAGAGTTCACGTTCATTCCCTTTATTCAGAGTATTTGAGAATTTAAATGTTTGTTATTATTATTTACAGACCTAGTACCACAGATTGGCCCCCTACTCCATGATTTTACTTTTTAAAATGTCTGTTTCAGTTAGTATATGAATAAATTGAAATTAGGCTAGTTGAAAATGTGGCAGCTCCTGGATTTTTAGACATTTTGAGGACAGTTAGATACAAGAACTATACTTGAAACAAAAATTTGTCTTATTGGCATTATTAAAAGCTGACTTTCCTTTATTAAAAGCTGACTTTCCTTATGAGTAGGAATTATTTATTATTGATTACATATGATGTCATTCTTAAGATAGAACCTTAAAGGAATATGCTAATCAATTAAATTTTGGCTAAGCTGAAAATAATTCTAACATGGAACTTTTTAGTTGATAATGTTTTTTTGTCTATTTTTTTGATAATTTTTTTTTTGAAAAATTAAGTTTTCTTAGCAAATCTGATTTTTCAGTAGCTTATCCTCTGAGTTTTTTTCTTCCATGTCTAGTGTGAGTTTAGCTTAAATGTTATTGATGAATTATCTCAGATAACTGATACATCTCAGATATCTTGTGTTTTATGCAAAGATATGCAAAGATTCCCAAAGAGTATGGTATATCTTACTGACCTTTTGTTATTAACTCTGTTTTAGGAATGGATCGTGATTATGGCCCCGGATCTTATGGAGGTCTGACATTCAAGGATATTTATCTAAAAATTCTTCTTTTGGGTGCCAGTAAAGGTGAGCATCATTTAATTTTTTTTTCTTTTTAAACTCTTTATAGGGATGGACCGTGACTATGGCCATGGATCCTATGGGGGTCAAAGATCCATGGACTCCTACCTAAACCAGTCATATGGCATGGACAATCACAGTGGTGGTGGTGGGGGTAGCAGGTAAATTGCTTAATCACTTGGCCAAATGATTAGATGACTATAAGATTCTGGATATTTTAATTTAAGTATTCCTTAGGCATGTTATGATACTTGAACTTCACTATTTGGTATTGAATAATCACCTTAAATGTTAAAGGTGTTAATTAATGGTTCTAAAAATTATCTCAGGGCCACTGACAGACATTATTTTAGGAAAACTTTAAGTAGCTATTTTCATTTCAGTACAATAGAGTAAGATTTTCTGTCTTCATTAGTGAATTTTTTTTAAACTTCTTTTACTTTTAACTCCTTATCATTCAGAATGTTCTGAACAAATGATATAAGAATGTTATTGGAAATATTATTTGTGAAGTTATTTTATTTATGAGTTTTAAAAGTATCTTTTCTAAGGTGGGGTGTTCTGTAAAGCAGCAAATCAGTTTTTGACTGGAATGGGTTTAACTGAACCAGTCTAGCAGCATTTAGTTTCTGAGAAACATTTAAGATAGTTATTCTTTTAATTTTAATTTTAGAGTAAGTTGTAAGAGCATATTGTAATAGTAAAACATTCTTTAAGTTCATGTCTAGGTTATTTATTGGCAGATACTACTTATACCAAAGACACCGTGCTCTAAGCCAGGAGCATTGTATCAAAGCCATGAATACTATACCTTCATTTATTTTAATGCACTAGAGTTCAGATTGTTTTTATATTTCACTGTTGAAACTGTGTAAAGCTCAACACTAGTTGAACTAGCATAGACTTTAGCATTGACCACATTTCAGGCAAAGAGGGTACAGGCACAGATATTTCTACTAAATACAACTAGTTAGGTAACATTTGAAACTATCCTCCTTCTTCATAAGTTGAAGGATCTGGATTCCTTAAGGATGGATTGAATGATGCTTTACTTTCCTTCTTTCTGCTTCGAATATGCCACTATGGTTTATAGTAGTGGAAAATAAAAAAGATGAACACATACAACAATTTTGCATATGTGATAGATGTTTTAAAAAGAGTTGGAAAGAGGAGTAATTTTTATATGGTTACCAGGATTCAGAAGTAAATAGTAATTCTACTTAGTGATCTGTAAATAATTGAAGTAATGTAACACATTTAAATAAATATTTTAATATATCCATTATTGCCATATTGCATTGTAAATGTGTTGTGCATAAACTATGTAGATGTTATTGTTTATCTCATGTGTTATTGTGGGCCTTTATAAAATTATGTTGTAAGATATCAAGCAACTTTTGTAATCCATGCTTTGGATTTGTGAGAAGTAAGATGATTTGTTTCTTCTGTTGACTCTATTAAAACCTTGAGGAGACTGTGTGCTCCTTTTTAGAGTAGTTTTATGTGATAATTTCCTGCCAGGAAAGAATTTTTTAAATAATTGAAGACTTAAAATGTATTCTTCTCATCTGCCTTGATAATTTTTGTGCAGAGGGTATATGTTGGTGGTCTTTTACTTTTATGTTCTATTTTATGTCCTTATCCTTCTAGATTTGTTAGATTTGCTAGTCTCTACAAGTGGAGAGTGACTGAGGATTGATTATTGACCTTACCCAAAGTTGGGCAGGATATCAAATTTCATAACCAGAGATAATTCTCCAAATTTTAACTGCTATAGACACAATGAAGCAGTTTTGTGATATAGATTATTGGGGGTGCAAAAGGATCTCTTTTGTGTCACAAATAGCTTATATCGGTGTAGTCTTCAATTTCTGTCCCTATTGAAAGCCAAAATGTTGTAAATATTTGGTATTTTCCAATACTAGGGGTGGATTCAAAGAAAGTTTGAGTAGCTTGTGAACTTTAGTAAATGACTTTTTCCAAGACTAGGGCTGGGCTTAAATACTGACAGACAAATCATTTTAATAAAATAGAAAAGCTGCTACAAAGCAGATTTTTAAGCTAAGGTTTACTTAACTCAATTCATACTTAAAAATTGACTCAGATAGCTTTCTATCTGGTCTCATGTTGAACTGCCCAGCCCTAATCAGGTGTGAATAAAAGTAGAACTGTGCAAACCAGTATGGTATAAATGAATTTTAGTTGATAAATGTCATCTGATAATTTGTCTTTTGAATTGTCTAACATTAGTAAGCTTACTTTTGTTTTTTCCCTCACTGTGCAACTTTTCCAGGTTTGGACCTTATGAGTCTTACGACTCCAGGTCTTCTCTGGGTGGGCGAGATCTGTACAGATCTGGCTATGGTTTTAATGAACCCGAACAAAGCCGCTTCGGAGGTAGTTATGGTGGTCGATTTGAGAGCTCCTACCGGAATAGCCTTGACTCTTTCGGAGGTAGAAACCAGGGCGGGTCTAGCTGGGAAGCACCTTACTCCCGTTCAAAATTGAGGCCTGGGTTTATGGAGGACAGAGGAAGAGAGAATTACTCTTCCTACAGCAGTTTTTCTTCACCCCATATGAAGCCTGCACCTGTAGGCTCTCGGGGGAGAGGAACGCCTGCTTATCCTGAAAGTACGTTTGGAAGCAGAAACTATGATGCTTTTGGAGGACCATCAACAGGCAGAGGCCGAGGCCGAGGAGTAAGTACAACAGAATCTTTTCAGATTCTTTTCACTAGTCACTCTTTTAAACCCTTTCAAGACCATGGTTTTCATCTAGAATAAACACTGTTCATCCCAGTGTATTTTGAAGCAAAAGCTCAATCATAAGCATAATTTTTAGGTTGCCTGTAAAAGTTTTTTCAGCACTTCAGAAAATTAAGTGGCAGTGTGAGATGATTGTTCATAAGTTTTGCCAAATCTCCCTTTATTAAAAAGGTGAGGATATTAGGTTTTGGTCTAAAAGGGGTTAAAAGGAGTTGCATTTTTCCTTGTAAACACTAGCAGTTTTGCTGGTGGGACAGTTCTTGGATTATTGTAAAAGGTAACTGAACCCTTTGGAGTTTTTGAGTAGGTTAAAGGTGCAATGTATGATAAAATGTTTATACTTTGCTGCTAACTCTAGCACATAGAATTTCTTCAGAACTCCATATTTCACAATAAACACAAGGGACTAAAAGTTGGTGATAGATGAGGGTAGCTTAGCCATGTTTACATGGTGAAGAAGTTGATAAGTTTAATAGGTTGTAGAATGATTTGTGGTCACTATAATTACTAACTCATTCTCTTGCAATATGTCCTATTGCTGGGTGTTCTGTTTTCCCTTGTGTCACTAGTTTTTACTATTGAGAAATGAGTTCCTACCTGTACAAACATGTCTCTGGCTCCTTCCTAGGAAGTAATATTTTGTAAATCATTGCTAGCATGAGTAAATATACTAGTCTTCAAGTGTTTTATTTCAGGATATAGTATAAACATAATGATTTATGTTCTTAGATAACTTGACTGACCTGAAATTTTACCTAGTAAGTGTACATAGATTGTGGAGTTTTGTAGTTTGGTCATATGAAGGATATTGTGTTTTTACTTTAATGTAAGAAATTTTTTTTGTCTTTTTAAAATCAGTTACTCTTAATATTCTCTTTGCAGAGTAAAGTACTTCTGATAAAAAAAAATGTAGTAGGGCACACGTATTTAACTGTTTGTTAGCCTTTGGTACATGAGTGTAGTTTGTCATTTTTGTGTAGAAATTTTGCATTTATAACAGTTACCCTTTACTTATGTAAAATGCATTGCACCTTTAATGGATAATTAATGAAGATATTTCTAATGTGACTATAAATTACCTGGTAACACTAATCTATTCACATCTACTAGGTTAGCTAGGGATTCCTAAGCGTAATACATAAATGTAAGCAACTCATATGTTGCTTTTCCACCATAATTAGTGACTGTAGGTTAATTGAAAATTGTTGGGGTAATAGGCTTTGGATTTTGAAGTTGAAAATCAATTCCAGTTTAAAAATTTGAAAAACACTTAACATTTTCCATGCTGTGTATTACTTTAGGCAAATGATTTTTTTTTCTTAATGAGACTTCATATATTAATTTTGTTTTCCACAATAGAAAAACAGGCATTCCTGTACTTTGTGTTCACCATTCTAGTCTGAATGGACTTTTCTTTCTTTCTCCTGTTAATGAAGTAGATGAACCAACAGGACTTTCTTTTTTAATCTTCACTTGTACAATTCCCATTGGATCCTTCTCTTCAGATTACTCCTCAGTCTTTATCTTGTAAAAGTAAGATTAGCAGAATAAATTTCTGTGGACATGTGGCCTCTTGGTGTAGTGGATTTTGTTAATGACAAGAGAAGAGGAAGGGACACAAGAGTCGTTTGGTTGCATGACTCTTCATCTGTAAACTTTCGCTTCTTGGGCTTCTGGGTCAGAATATGTTTCTCTAGGTAAGGATGTGAATGGAACGTCAGATGTAATTCTTTATCTGAAGTGTGTCCTGGAAGTTGATGCATGGTTATGCTTTAACTCTCCTATTTCATACTAATGTTCCATCTCGCCTTCTCATTCCCTTTTTCAACAGGGAGAAATCCTAAATGATTTCTGGATCTTTTTTACTTCAGACTTCAAATATGGTCTTCTTTATGCATCTTAGTTTTTAAGCCAGGTTTTAGTGAAATAAAGATGTCTTTTAAGGTCTTTTCATGGGAAAACATCAATTAGGAACTCTGAAGAGGAGTTGTCAGAGAGTTGTACAAGTGGTAATATTCTGACAGGCACATATGTTGTTTATGATCCTCAAGTAATTTTGAATGGTACAAATAAAAAAATAGGTAGGAAATATCCATATTTGTTCTACTGGAAATAAAACTACTAATTCACTGGATTTGAGTTCATGTTATAATTGACAAAGCTTTTCAATGTGTTTATTCAGAGTGGACATGTAAAATTAGGTACATTCTGGGGAATTTTCAGGTGAAAATTACTAGATAGATAACATGTAAACTTTGTGTGAATTCCTACTTTACCTTTGGATACTATGCTAATATTCCTTGATTTCACAAATTTGCAGCATATGAGTGATTTTGGAAGCATTCATAGACCTGGAATTGTTGTTGACTATCAAAACAAACCCACCAATGTGACAGTTGCCGCTGCAAGAGGAATAAAGAGAAAAATGATGCAACCATTTAATAAGCCTGGTGGAACCTTTATCAAGAAACCCAAGCTAGCAAAACCTGTGGAGAAGATGAGCCTCAGCAAATCACCCAGTAAGTAAGAAAATGTAATTGCTATTGCTTAAGGTACTTCCAATTTTTTAAACATTTGGTGCTTTTAGATAATTTTTTCATGTTCATATGACAAACTGCGTAGTAATTATAATCATAGAAATAGTCGTAGAAATTGTAGATTTCTGAATCACCAAGTGTAGTTATAAGTCGATCATGAACATCGAAATTACCCAGAGCTAAAAATTTTAAAAATTCACATTCCACCTCTCTTGCCTAAATCCTTGTTTAGGATGGAATCAGAACATCTGTATGTTT